CATATTTCATCCCACCAATGAAAGACAAGTGTTTTTAATACAAAAAAACGCCAACCTTCAAATAATCATGTTCAGTTATGAACTCAATACTTGGTCGGGAATCATTTTGCATGAATGTCTGCTTCAATGCGGCGTGGCATGGAGGCAATCAGCCTGTGGCACTGCTGAGGTGTTATGGAGGCCCAGGATGCTTCGATAGCGGCCTTAAGCTCATCCAGAGTGTTGGGTCTTGCGTCTCTCAACTTTCTCTTCACAATATCTCACAGGTTCTCTATGGGGTTCAGGTCAGGAGAGTTGGCAGGCCAATTGAGCACAGTAATACCATGGTCAGTAAACCATTTACCAGTGGTTTTGGCACTGTGAGCAGGTGCCAGGTCGTGCTGAAAAATGAAATCTTCATCTCCATAAAGCTTTTCAGCAGATGGAAGCATGAAGAGCTCCAAAATCTCCTGATAGCTAGCTGCATTGACCCTGCCCTTGATAAAACACAGTGGACCAACACCAGCAGCTGACATGACACCCCAGTGACTGTGGAAACTTGACACTGGACCTCAAGCAATGTGAATTCTGTGTCTCCTCTCTTCCTCCAGACTCTGGGACCTTGATTTCCAAAGGAAATGCAAAATTTACTGTAATCAGAGAACATAACTTTGGACCACTCAGCAGCAGTCCCAGGCAAGATGCTTCTGACGCAGTTTCTGGTTCAAGAGTGGCTTGACCTGGGGAATGCGGCACCTGTAGCCCATTTCCTGCACACGCCTGTGCACGGTGGCTCTGGATGTTTCTACTCCAGACTCAGTCCACTGCTTCCGCAGGTCCCCCAAGGTCTGGAATCGGCCCTTCTCCACAATCCTCCTCGGGGTCCGGTCACCTCTTCTCGTTGTGCAGCGTTTTCTGCCACACTTTTCCCTTCCCACAGACTTCCCACTGAGGTGCCTTGATACAGCACTCTGGGAACAGCCTATTCGTTCAGCAATTTCTTTCTGCGTCTTACCCTCTTGCTTGAGGGTGTCAATGATGGCCTTCTGGACAGCAGTCAGGTCGGCAGTCTTACCCATGATTGCGGTTTTGAGTAATGAACAAGGCTGGGAGTTTTTAAAAGCCTCAGGAATCTTTTGCAGGTGTTTAGAGTTACGTCGTTGATTCAGATGGTTAGGTTAATAGCTTGTTTAGAGAACCTTTTCATGATATGCTCATTTTTTGGGACAGGCATTTTGGGTTTTCATGAGCTGTATGCCATAATCATCAGTATTAAAACAATTAAAGACCTGAAATATTTCAGTTGGTGTGCAATGAATCTGAAATATATAAAAGTTTCATTTTTATCATTACATTATGGAAAATAATGACCTTTATCACAATATGCTAATTATTTGAGAAGGACCTGTAGCTCTGATAAGATCAGTTCTGGATTATGGACGTCTGGTGTATCAGTCAGCAGCAGTTTCACTCCTCAAAAAATTAGATATAATACAATATCAAGCATTGAGATTATGTTGTGGTGCAGTCAAGTCTACATCTGTGGCTGCATTACAAGTTGTCATTGCACCTCAGAAGGAAACAACTGGCAGTAGTGTATTGGGCCAACTTAAAAGGACATAAGGATATCCATCCTACAAAAACTGTTCTTCAGTTAAGTCAAGAAAAAGAGAAGGGTTAGTACAGGCGTTTTGGATGGACTATTGAAAAATTATTAAAAAATATTAAATTGGACCAAATGAATGTAAGTCCTACAGTGATATTTTCAGTTGTGCCTCCTTGGGTTCTGGGGAAAACAATTATTGATACTTATCTGTTAAAAGTAAAACAAAGGAAAAAACTCAATGAGCTTGATGTTGAAACTCATTTACAATCTAAATACTCTGAATATCCAAAAATTTATACTGATGCTTCAAAAATTGGACATAGGGCAGGAGTTTTTTTTATTGAACCTGAAATAGGTCACATGTCTAATCAAAGGATCAGTGATAAATTATCTGTATTTACTGGTGAATTAATAGCTATCTTATTAGCATTAAAGTGGGTTTTATTATTATATAATAGTATTAAGTCTTGATCTATATTAATTGCTACAGACTCCAGTAGTGCAATCTGCAGTATAAAACTTGCTCATTCTTAATCAAGGCATGCTGTTATATTAGAAATTTTACAAACACTGTATAGAATTAAAGGTTCAGGAGTTTTAGTAAGATTAATTTGGGTCCCGGCTCATATAGGGGTTTTAGGTAATGAACTTGCAGATAAATTTGCTAAAGTAGCCACTAAAAAGATAGACATGTCCTTATCAGTCTCATACAGCAAATCAGAAATAAAATATATTGTAAAGGAAGAAATGAATAAGAAATGGCAGGAGGAATGGAACAAGGAGCAGAAAGGGAGACATTTTTATTCTATTGAAAACAGTGTGGGTAGGATGAGGGAAACATCAAGGAGGAGGAGGGAAGAGGATATTTTATCAAGACTTAGATTTGGTCATACATATTTAAACTCGAATCTAAAAAGAATAACATCCTACAGGAGTTTGTGAATGTGGCCAATCACAAGAGACAGTAGAACATGTACTTATAGATTGTATAAAAT